CTAAAGAGAGGCACCGAACAGAGCTTAGAAGAAATTTTTACGAAGAATTGGAGCAACGTTGACCCAAAGTCAAAGTAGACCACACCCCTAGAGTTGTTTACTAATATGATTCATTGATGACTAGACTTAAAAGAAAAATGCACTTCAAGGAGAGGTCTAGAGGGTTATCCCCTTTTAAGAGGCTACATCAGTCAGTCCAGACAACGAAGAAGATCTAGATTTGAAAAAGGTTCGATGGACTTCAAGAATTAAAGAAGAACTTGTTTTCACTACCTCTCAAGGTTAAATTGCTCGGATGAACGGATGGGCTACAAGGAACCATTTCCAACCTCATTTTCTGTAACACTCCGATGAGGAGATGGGTGCCAAGTTGTATAGCTTGGTGGAAATTATTGCTCGACAATAGAGCAAATTGGACACGAGTCTTAACCTACACTTCAGCTCAAATGCTCAACCCTTCGGTTGGAACGGGGTGCCAAGTGGTATAACTTGGTGGAATTTGTGCCTAATATCGTTACTTGAAAGCATGATTCATATTCACAACTCATGCTTAGCAAAGAGCCAAGTTACACTCTCCAATGAGTTAAATAAACTAAACTTGACCAAATTAGGTAACAGTCAAGCAACGTAATGCTCGGCCAGATCTAGTTAAGAGCATTTTCATTTTACAAGGCATGAAGCCTGGTCTAATCGAAGAGACGGTCTGGTTGGCCACGGAGCCTTAGCTTGGCCGAGGGGCATAGAAGACTTTTTTTTACTCAAAATTTTTCAAGACACAAAGCCTGGTCTGATCGAACAAACGGTCTGCTCAGCTACGTAGCCTCTGCTCAGCCATGGGGCATGGAAGACCTTCTTCTACTCAAAAGTTTTCAAGGCACGAAACCTGGTTAGACTAAACAAATGGTCCGTTCGGCCACGAGCCTCTGCTCGGCCCGGGGCATAGAATACTTTCTTTTACTTGAAATTTTTCAAGGCACAAACTCTGGTCTGACCGAACAAACAGTTCGCTCGGTCATGAAGCTTCTGCTTGGTCGGCGGCATAGAAGATTTTCTTTTACTCGAAATTTTTCAAGGCATGAAGCTTGGTTTGACTAAACAGACTATCCTCCTGGCCACGGAGCCCCTGCTCAATCGGGGGCATAGAAAACTTTATTTTACTTAATTTTTTCTTCAAGGCGAAAAGCCTGCGAGCAAGGTAAGGTTGAGCATCCATAAGAGTGCGAGCATCTAATGTTGCTCGGCCGAAAGCAAATACTTTTGGAAGGACCTTGGCACCAAGCAAACCTAAAGAACGAGCACCCATGTAAAGCCAGCATTCAATGGTGCTCGACCGAGGGCATACAATATTCATGTAATGCAAAGATGGATAACAAAAAGACTTGGCAAATTTTCATTGATAGTCTTTCAAAGATACAAAGAGAAGCAAAAGAAAGTACATCCAAGTCCAACACTTATCAAAAATCAAAGCATTTTGTTCATACGAAGTTCTACTCCAATGACTAACGCTTTTCTTCCATCCGACCAATGGGCTCCTCGATAATCATGGAGATAGGCACCAAAGTCGAAGTAGGCGAAACACCTACCACTCACTTAGAAGACCTAACTATCTTAACAAGCCGACCAAAGGCTAGGTCAAACCTAGTTAACCACTCCGATGTGGGGCCAGACAAAGGCCACTTCAATACGAACCTAGCAGTGCACTCCTCAACCCAGTGCTAGAATTACTCCGAAGCAGACAAGTTACGAAGCTCCGCAAGACCAACAACGTTCTAAGAGGAGCATTCTTGAATCATCCTTGAGGTCAACAACGACACACTTGTGAGCTGTGGCAGCCAAACTAGTCATTGCATGAATAAAGATGAAGCAAGCGTTTAAATGACTTTCTCCAATCAAACAGAGAGGTCTGCTTATTTGACAATGTCAATCAACCAAGCAACAAGGCCCACGTTCAAATCATCTCTTCTGACTAATCTTCGAAGTCAATGATGAAGCACAACACATTTAGCTTGGGTCACCACCGAGCTAGAATAGGCTAAACCTAGCAAAAACGTTTTGTGGGCTGAACGGAACCTACAAATATTGAGCTCGGCTGACCGAGTTCATAGATCAATAACTTAGCAAACCAAGCTTGGTACAATGTTGAACGACCTGTTGAATGGGTCGATCGAGCAAGGTGGCGTGAGTTAGACCAAGAAGTGAAGCACAAAAGGGAAATGAGTTGAGTGACTAAGTTGAGGCCCACCAAGCTATTCTATACATGCACCAGGTGAAAGCAATGGGGCAACCAAGTTACGCCTACTGCGAACAAACCGAGCAAAAAGGCCACTCAAAGCCAGACTAAAGACGATTGAATTGTGGGTTAGCCATGCAAATCATTAGTGCGAAATGGGCCGAAGAATCAAGGTAATGGTCCATGGAACTATGCGTAAGATAAGGAGTGCCTAACTCAACCGACCAAGACGACGAACTCGAAACAAATCAATTTAATGTCGATCAAGCTCTTACCTTGCGTGACGAACCGAGCTCGACGTGGCAATTTCGAACCAAGTGACAAGCTCCGATCAGGCATCGTCCAGAATGACTGCGGACTGACCGAGCAACCTTTACAAAACTCAAGCTAAAGCTTGTAACTCAACCTAATAGTCAACTGAGGTGAGCACCATGCAAAGAGCCAAGCCGCAGCGAAGTGGCTGAATAGTGAGGCCAAAGACAATGCCTTGGATCAAGACCAAGTAGCTTCACGCAAGTCGAAACTCAGCTAGCAGATTAAAAGCGAAAGGTGACCAAGTACGAAGGCCGAGCTCTGCTTATGAGACCGAAAGCTGAGCTCTTTTTATGAGCCCAAATGCCGAGCTCCACCTATGGGCCCAAAGGTTGAGCTCCACTCTGAGCAGTTAAGCCGAGCTACATCTATCTTTGGTTTCCACTCAACAAATTTAAGTGCAAGCCAGGGGACAAATCAAGTGGACACAAATACTCTAGCTCATTCGTGCATAACTTAGCCTGAATCAAGGAGAAGACCCATTCCGAAATGGACCGAGCTAGAGTTATGGCCCTAGTCTTCTTTCCCACTCCGATGTGGGTCGAGCTAGGGGGTTGATCTTAGCACCCTTCCCCACTCAGATATGGGCCAAGCTATAGGTATGGCCATATCCCCTTTGCCCACTCTGAAGTAGGCCGAGCTGGGGGAGCGACCCTAGCACCCTTCCCTCACTTTGAAGTGGGCAAAGTCATGGGCTTAACCATAACCTGTTTCTCCACTGTGATGTAGGCCAAGCTAGAGGTTTAGCCCTAGCCCCCTTCTCCACTCTAAAGTGAGTTGAGTCCTAACAAAATGCTCAATGCCATGTGAGTGAAGGACACATGACCCCCGCGATTAATGGAATGATTGTAGACGACTCATCACTTTCTTCTAATGAGAAGTGACCTAGCTAAATGACAAAGAGCGCCAAATGGCGGAGAGAAGAACTTGATGAGCAAGTCAACCCTTCATTACAAAAGGTAACCTCACCACCCTTCAAAGGGATCCGAATTCCATTACTCTCTCTATATATACACTCGTCCTTGCCATTCTCTCTCTTTGGCCTGACTTTACTATTGGAGGGTTTTCGATCAAAACCCAACTAGGTAGCTTCACCGTTCGCTACTTGTGCAAGCCGTCATCTCCCGGAGCACGATAGCTCGTCCGTGAAGCATACTCACTATCTCCCGGAGTACGGTAGCTCGTCCATGAAGCATACTCACTATCTACATTGTGGAATTGAGTTTGCACATAGACTGTTTATACTTTTCTCAAAATAATAATAATAATAATAATAATGAAGAGATCGTTTATGCACTAGTACAAATGCATATTGATAAATTGTGCTGGGATAATTGTAATATAATTTCCCTAGCAATTAAATGGGATAGGTTTCAAACTCACTCAGCCATCTCAGTTGGGTGGGTCTTGGTAAAATATTAATTGTGGGTTGTTTTGGGAACTATTTAATTTAATTGATTTTTTGATTTTTTTTAAAAAGATATATAAAATAAAAAGAATAATTAATTTTTTTTTATTAAAATAATCTATTGCCAAACTTATCCTAGTAACAAACTGTCTCTGAGAATCTTGCTGCATTGACTCTCTCTCTTTTTCTTTTCTTTTTTTATCATTTTTGGGGACAGAAAATTCGGTGATGAATGAGAATCCAGAAAACTTGTAGTGCACAATCCCATCACGCCAAAAATTGAGTTGGAGAAACCCTTAATTCCCACTTAGGCCATGTTTGGGAATAAGTTTTTTTGGTGATTTTTAATTTTTTTAATTAAAATATGAAATTAAAAAAATTAATATGTTTAGAATGACTTTTTAAATTTTTTTCAAAAAAATGCACAAAATGTAAAATGAATGAAAAAGGATAATTGACTTTTTAGTATTTGTTTGATTTTTTACGTTTTTTTAATGACTTTTAAATTTTTAAATTAAAATCTCAACCTTAGTGAACATTGCCCCAATGCTCATCTCAACATTTTCCTCACCCTCAATCCGTTATAGTTTTACAACTTAACATTTTCATTATTAAATTTCAGCAACTGTGACTCATCTATGATGCTTAATGAGTTATGAGGGTCAAAATACAAAGGATTGAGATATTGACCATTGTCAAACCTACATATATCAATTCTAAAAGGGAAAATCATACATGGGACCCCAACGAATTTTACAGGACATATCATTATTTTTATTTTTACAAATATGGTGATTTTTACATGACAATCCACAAAAATGGAAAAACACAATGAAATTCATATGTAGATAGCACTTAAATCTCATGCAATAGTGAAAACAAATAGAGTGTAATAGTGAATCAAACTCAACTTGGAAAGGAAGCACTTGAATTTGGCATTGTCTATAACATTTATTGGCCGTTTGAGCCGTTGGTGATGATGATGAGATGGATATAGTTCATTATACTGGTCCCATATATTCACAACTCTCTCTCTCTCTCTCTCTCTCTCTCTCTCTCCATGCATGCAGTGCTGCCCTATATAAGAAGAGCTCTTCTCTTCCTGCCTTCTTCATCACAACCACAACTCAATACAATACTTTCTCATACTCTTCTCTCACTCTTATTATTTCCCTACCTACTATGGCTTCCAACCCTAAAACCCTCCTTCCTTCTCTTCTCATCCTCTCCCTCCTCCTCCTTTCCATAGCTGGGGGCATGCAATGGCCGGACGTGAAATCCCTACGAATTCACTCCCAAAACACAGACGACATGAAAAAGCCAGAATCATTCATTGATTCTGATGGCAGTGTGCTCATTCCCGGCATTGGCCGTTTCATGCTCCCCAGACTGGGTACGGGTTTCAATCCATTCACCTACAACCCAGTCACTGGCACCAGTGGAGGCACTGGTATTGGTGGTGGTATTGGGGATGATAGTGGCAGCGCCACCCACGAATATGTGCCAAGTGGCGATGATACATTAGTCCCAAACCCCGGTGTGGAGGTCCCGAATCCTGGAAATGTTGGCAGCAATCCCGCAGCAGCTCAACCTTGAGTTTGTCTAGCTCTTCTTGTTATATATCTATGTTTGAGTCTGCTTTTTACTTCTCTATGTATTGTTTTGCTTTGCTTTGCTTGTATATTTAATGGGTTAATTGGTAATGAATAAGATTTAAGCAGTTGGGTTTTTTATGCATTTTTCTTCATGAAATACAATGGACAATATCAAGATGGAGAGATACAAGTAGTTGTTATTATAAGTCATTTTCTCAAGTGGTTTTTTTTTTAAAATATTAATTAATTATGATTGCAGTTGTTCTAGCAACAAAATCAAGGAATGTAAAATTATATATTAACCCTTCAAGATATCAATACCCAATTCCAATAATTACTCTTGTTATTTTATGTTGCTATAGCATTATAGCACTGATTTATAAATCATCTTTGAAAATTTTTAAATAACTCTGTGTTAGAGGTAAAGAGTATTCTCTACAATTTATTATTATCATTATTATTATTATAATATTAAATATGGACAATGGATTTTTAATCATTGTGATAAAAGCTTTGAGATCATTTCATTCAAAGAACACATGCTAAAATTAAGTTTAACCCAGTTTAGTACCCCATTGATGGGTCGGGTACAAACTTACCATTTGATCATTATCTGTGTAAAATGGCTGCCTTTAAATTCAAATTCACAAACTCGAGGTTATTATAATCATTGAACATGACATATTAAAATAATTTCAACATCAACAAGCGCTAAATGGAAGCAAATTTATATGATCACTATCTTACATTACAGTGTCCTTTGAAGCATAATGGTAAACACATGGACTTAATATTCATGACTGAATCCAGCCAAGTTGCTGCCTATAAATCCCTTAAAAAGTAGGAGCTCATTCTAGGATGCAAACATGTTCACACTTTACCCTGTAAAAGATAAATAAATAAATAAACAGAGGAGAAAATTATTCCATGTAAATTAGTAAAGAAACACTATTAGAAGAGACAATGAAATGTTCCTCAAAAGAAAGACAGAAATAAGGGAAAATAATAAGAAACAAACTCAAAATAATGCGAGACACTCATACTTTATGCATTGTGACTTTTTTACAAAGTTAAATATATGGAGTTCTTATGATACATAAAAATAAAATAAAAAAATCTATAAAAATTCTAATAAATTTATAGTTAGCACATATAAGGTCATCATTGATACAATAAATATAGTAGGTCGTACCGTCTTCACTGTGTGACTTGCCACGCGGCAAGGAACACGTCACCTCTTCGGACCCACCCCAAAAGATGTTTGGGGCCCACCCAAAATGGGCTCAAAATTATGCCTATATAAAACCATTTTCCAACAGCTAGTTGATGATGTGCTCAACTATGAGAGAGTATGCCCATCATGCAATCAATGTCATGAGAGCTACTTCCATATCGGTGCCAACGGATAATGAAAAGAAGTCACCCAAAATAGAAACAAAATTTATGTATGTTTTGGTGTACAACAAATGCACCTAATAACTAGACCAGGCACTGGAATCATGCTTCTGTTGAATGCATTCAGTTGCTTTCTATCTGTAGACTGTTCTGTTACACTGATCTGTTAGTCAGTTATACTTCTGGTATTTGGGTTGAATTTCTCATCTGCAGATTAGGAAAGCTCTATGGGTTGAATTTCTATTCTTCAGTTTAAGCTGCTGTATAGTTAATGTATTATTGACTATGGTGTGGAATGTGTGGAATGGGGTATTTTTTATTCTGGTCTGCTTTTGCTTAGCTGATGGTGGCTGTTCAGACATGGTCAATTTGGCTGTTACACCCTTTTGAAGCTGGTCAATTTTGTGCTCTGGACAATTTGGAGTATGGTTTGAAACTGGTTTTGGAGTTTCACCTTTTTGTTCATGCTGGTTTGGGGTACACTTTCTTGCAGTTTCTTGCACTGCTTATGCCTCATTGTGAGGAGGTTTGGAGCTCACTCTGTTTGTCCTGTTTTGCTTCACTGTGAGGTTGGGCTTTGTCCAGTTTTGTCCTGTTTTTGTTTCTTTGTTGGTCTCTCTCCAACTAGGAGGTGGGAGTTTTTTTAACTTCAAACTCCTCTTTATTGATGTAACTTTTCATACTCTGTATCCATTTATCATCAATAAAGTATTTCCTTTACCGATCAAAAAAAAAAAAAAAACTAGACCACCTACCACCAATCTTCCAGTTTTACACACAATATTACAACCACTAGTTCATACATTTGTGGGAGATAATCAAAGATACATATAAGTTAATTTATTATAGAAAAGTCATAGTTGTTTGATATCAATGACAAGTAATTTATTAGTGAACCTTGTCTCAAGTCCCTGAAAGAAATTGTTTCCTGATTGGTTAGCAATAATAAAGCTCAGCTAAAAGACTCGTAACTGTCATGCTTCCCAAAAGTCAATTTCTAAAACAGCTTTGTTGCTCTCATATATGATAAACTCTTGTCTCTATCAGCACTTAAAAAAAGTAATTGTCTCACTTCCTAAAAGTCATTTATTTTCTAGGGCCATCAACATCTAATCTGGGACATAATTCAGAAACAGTTTCATTGTTATCATAATTAACCGTTCCTTCAACTTGAACCAGCCATAGCTGCTTCCACTTGTCTCCATCAGCAACAGACTCTACACTAAATTAATCCATCTAAGCCTCTAATTGAGTAAAAGCTTTAAAAAATAAATAAATAAATAAATAATGTATGAATAATCCATCACAAGATATGCAATCAAATCGCCAGCATAAGATTCAACCCATGCCAAAGATTCATTTAAGAGACAGAGACGACGGAATATGGTTAAATCTTGGCATCCCAAAAACAATACAGACACCAAATGAAATATTTCATGGCTGACCATCGCCCCACACCATGTGATATTGTAAGGCCCAACCCATGTTGGGGGGTGGTTAATCATATAGAGTAAAAAATTTGGTGTTTGTATCAGTACTGAGTGAAAAAAATCACTAAATCTGCTCCGCAAACTACCCAATTTCAGTAACTTCTTTTACTTGAATTGTCTCAATCATATTATTTCAATGGACTCTCTTTCAAATACCAAACTTTCATTTTGCATGTCACATTTGTGAGTAAGAAAAGTTAGTAAACCTTTATTAGTTTGTATAGTTTTTTCCACTATTGAGATGGACCAAATATTATAATTTTCATGCAAGTACAACAACCTTTACAATATAATTAACAGAACAAAAAGAAACAGTTGTACTCGGAAATTTTAACTACATTGAGAGACAGACAAGAAGGGGGAAAAAAATGTTTCAATGATGTTGACAATGGGTGTTGGAACTTGGAAGCATAAGAGTGTATGAGTACATCTAGAGCCCCAAATGGAATATATATGTCCGTGTTATGTACAGAGGAAGAACCAATATTCAACAGACAGAACTACTCCATGGAAGTATGTGAAATACTTGGGTTGTGTTTAGATCATGAATTTGGGTAGGGATTTGGAAATGAAAAAAGAAAAACTATGAATTTTTGGGGTTTTCAGTTATGAATTTTGCATATGAAAAACTATTTTCCTGTCAAGGTAAGTAGAACAGCAATAGGAACTAGAATTCTCTCTCTCTCTCTCTCTCTCTCTATTTTAAGAGAGAAAAGAAAAGAAATAATTACTTAAGTTATAAAAGAAAAGAAAAGAAAAGAAAATGAATGATTGTAATTTCTCTTCTTCTTGTTTGGATAAGTAAGAAATAAAAGAAAAGAAATTATTGTGATTTCTCTCCTTCTTGTTTGATTAGATTTTATAAGAGAAAAAAAAAACTATTTTATGTTATATTACCAAAATAACATTTTTTTATATTTTGTCACTATATAAGAGCATCTCCAATCCTCACTTCTTCTTTTTTTTTCTTTTTCTTTTTCTTTTTCATTCCATTTTGAGAAAAATTTTAGTTAAAAGTTTAATTTAATATGAAACAGTCTAATCATTGCTCTTTATTTTTCACCAAACATATTTCAAAAATTTCAAAATTCACCTATCATGATTAATATTTTTTTCATATTTTTTCATAGGTGCATGACCCTAATGATTCAAAACTTCGGATATCATGACAAAAAAATTCAACAAATGCATGACCAATATTTTTTGTTATTATATGTTGACTTCGTGAAGACCTCTAGTGCAAAGTGACTCAATACATTTGTGAGGGAATAAAAAGTCTACAACATCCTGAGACCAATCAAGCAAATAGCACAAAATTGAGTCAGGAAAAATGGGTGTTAAAGTAAGGAATTCATTATCCATAAAAGATCCAAAAAGAGTTAAAATCATTCACAAAAGATCCAAAATAAGTTCAAAGTCATCCACAAAAGACACCACATCCTAAATGGAGTCAAGTACAAAGTACGATAGACATCTCTAATGTCCCCTTCAAAGCAAGTACGATCTCATCTATAGAAGAGTTACCAATGATTCTCAGGGTCATACATCATGTTCTCTAAAATTTCCTTGCGATACTCCACTGGACAACCATAGAATTGCATCATCCTCTCAAATTTCTTGGTAAGAATCAAGCAAATAGCACAAAATTGAGTTAGGAAAAATGGGTGTTAAAGCAAGGAATTCATTATCCACAAAAGATCCAAAAAGAGTTAAAATCATTCACAAAAGATCCAAAATAAGTTCAAAGTCATCCACAAAAGACACCACATCCTAAATGGAGTCAAGTACAAAATACGATAGACATCTCTAATGTCCCCTTCAAAGCAAGTACGATCCCATCTATAGAAGAGTTACCAACGATTCTCAGGGTCATACATCATGTTCTCTAAAATTTCCTTGCGATACTCCACTGGGCAACCATAGAATTGCATCATCCTCTCAAATTTCTTGGTAAGAAAAACGTATGCGTCAGTAAATAAGTGTGGCGCAATTCCAATTTCCTCTAATGCTTTATACAACACTCCTATTGGAAAACATCCTTGAGATTTCTCCATAGAAGCATTTCCCTCTCTTATAGCTAATGTGATATCCTGCAATGCTGTCTTCAGTATGTCAACGTCCCTCTCACCACCATTTGAGAGCCTTCTTTTCTTTGCCTTCAAAAATGTTCCACTTTTAGGAGACAGTACAACAACATCTTCATCCACAAGATTAAAACTTTCCAAGTCTGCTTCATTTTGGTGCACCAGTTCATCAATAACTTCAATTCTATCTACATGATCATTATTTGATGAGTTGGC